GTTTAACTTAGTATTTCACAAAAAATGAATGCCAGATAAAATATTGAAGGGTTTTTATACTTAGTCATCCGAGTATATAGTCTTCCAAAGTTGCTTCTAATTCTAGCTGATGAGATGCAGCAAGGAGACACTTGTGTATATTGAAGATGATTAGAATGCAACAAAATAATATTCACAAATTTCTTGCATGACTCCATGTGTCTATCTGAGGTAGTAGTATTAACAAGTTTGTTTGGCAACACCCCACTCACCCTAACTGTCTGTCTGTCTGTCTATTTTCGACATAGAACTTTGCACAAATGTGCGGAAGTTCAAGTCGCCACATTCCGTGTAGCACGCGAAGCAAGAGAAGAAAGTACAAGAAAAGCATAATAGAAACAGTGAGCAGAGGTGTGAGACAAAGGAGTAATAAAGAAATACAAAACAGTTTCATTGAAGATCATAAGTCACAGGGAGTGGATGCATCTGCGTTAGCCACTGAGAACGATTTTGAGCCATGTCACCAATTGTTTCCAACCATAGATTTTTACCGTCACGAGGACCCCAGCCTGGAAGTCTACACCTTTCTGCGTGGCTTAGACCAACTGTTGTGACAACAGACAACTTTTAGAGTCCTTCACAGTGCAACAATGTAAGTTTTTCTTAATTAGCTCAGGAAATATTAAGTGGGAGCAAGAAAGAACAGGTAGAATACAAGAATTAACAAACTGTAAAAGTGAAGACCGACTGTGAACGATACCAGATTGTCTTAACTGTTTTCCATAGAAGATGAAAACGAAATATCTTTCTAAACGGTTTAATTGAGGTGGGAAGTCCAGTGAAGATCACAGGGAAGGTGACAGAGAAGATTTTTAAGCTCAGTTGAATGATTTTGATGTGGAAAGAAACGAATTAGATAAAACTCATAACTTCATAAACAACGTCTCCAACGGCATCAAATTCACAAGAAAAGAGGAATCAGAGAACAAAATCCCATTTTTGGACGTCTTAGTCAAGCGAACAATCACAGGAAAATACGAAGTTCAAGTTTATATACAATCAACTCACACAAGTCAACCAAATACTGAATTACGACAGCAACAATCCAATAACACACAAAAGGAACTGTATACAAACACTATTCAAGAGGGCTAGAACTCATTGCAGAATTCCCACCCTTAAGGAAAATTGAAGAAAGATATCTCGTGGACGTCTTCCAAAAGAATGGATATCCACGGAACTTCATCAAAAGACATATACCCCCAAGCTAACCTACCGAATCAAAAGCCTCCAAGGAAACCATAAAGAAAATACAAACGACATCTCAGAAATCACTGGGAGACTCTTCAAACCTTTCAGAAACCAACAAAATCTCTTCAATCAACTCTATGTCAACCAAAAGGCTCATCAACGAAAGCAGATAAAGCCAGCATCATCCACAACTGCGAAAAACACTACATTGTCAAAAGTGGACGTCCCCTTCGTCTTCGTATCCACGAACATAAGCTAGCCGTCAAAAGACATGATGACATCTACTCCCTCATATCACTACACACAGACAACCACGGACATCAATTCGACTGGGACAAGGTTCAAATATTAGACAGAGAAAACAACAAGAATGCTAGAGAATTTTTAGAAAGGTTCCTGGTATTCCAGTGAGTCATCAATCAATAGACACATAGAGATAGACAAAATTTACTAACCGATAAGAAAGAAACCTCACACTCAAAGGGTCAAAGTTCAAGTCATGGAAATAATCATTATTAATATCGATAGAAGTACCCCAGAGGGTATGAAAACACACATAAAACAACCAATCACGGCATTCAAGGTCACTGAACAGCAGACATGATTGATAAACTCGTGGAGAAATCCAGAAAGCTCACTTCATCGAATAGAAGTATGCGCGCAGAGGATGTTGTCTAGCTAGTTGGAGGGGGTGGGGTGGGGGCATTGAAAGCTTCGCAAATCAATTGTCCAGCTCAGAGAACGACAACTACGTAGAAATCATCCACCCGGGCTACAAATCTTCTCCATCATATATGTCCTATATTTTATAGCCATCCCTGACTCCCTCTCACTGTTTCTCTCAAGCAACTTCGATTGCATTACAAAATATTTTACCAAATTAATATTTCGATTCACCTATACAAACACACCATGATCATTTTGAAGTATTCTTTGACAATTATGTCTCTCCACTGAATAAAAATACAGCTATTCACATTTATTATTTATTAATATCAAGTTGTCGGCACTTGACATAACACCGATGGAAATATATATATATATATATATATATATATATATATATATATATATATATATATATATATATATATATATATATATATATATATATATATATATATGACTGCAACTCAAAGATGATATACCAAGCGAAATAACAACCGACAAGTTGAAAAGAACCATTCGAAGAACTTTAAATCCCGACTGATAGCTGCTGTTACCTTGAAGTGGTGGTCGCATATCTCAATAACTCAATTAGATACAATGGCTGGAACTAATGTTCCTACAGGTACTACCATGCCGGAAAGGTTGTTAGGATAGCGATTAGACTAAGAGCAGTTACTGGCAGCATAGTGCAAAATCTGAGCAGATCTGGGATCTGTGCGCAAAGTCATACTTCTGGAGAATAGGGAAATAGCAGCCAGAGTAGGCTGTTTCCCTCGGACGATCAGCAAGCCAGCCAACTATGCTGTCTCTCCACTTTGCAGAGAGGAGGTTAGAGAAGGTTGACCCCCGCCCCAACCATTGTACACCTCGACGTAATCTAGTGTGGTCCGTAACCAGTGGTAAGTCACTAATGCGGAACCAAACCGAAAAGTCAGTTCAGACAGGCCATATGTGACAGCCCACAAGCCATTGTCCCCTGAACTCTGTGGTCACGCATCATAAATTATCTTTCTGTTTCAAGTATCCCAAGAGTAAACCAACTTCTACGATGTTACCAGTCGGGAAGTAACAACCGCCCACACACTTCCAAAATCACACACATGAAGCCCTCCCCTAATGGTGCAACTCACTCACATTTACCACACGACTGGTTGTCACTCCTCAACTGTGAAAGACGAAGTATCTAGATTAGCTGACTCTTAATGTATCCATCAATTCAATTGCTTATGTTGAGCCAATTTAATTAATTGTCCATTTGCTTCAGGAACTTAATTTTTCGTGCTAGGAAACAATCAACAGTTCTATATTAGATCATCTCGTCTAAACAGACTCCAAGAGCCTTATTCTATCATCTATCAAATACTGTCAAAAAACTGCTAAATGCCACCAAATACTGAAGACTGTAAACAGAAAAGGCCACTACAATTCTCTTGAACAAAACCAGGGCTTTGTGTGTGTGTGTGTAAAAAGAAACAACGGGCTTAGCCATTATTGTTATCCTGGCCTGCTGTAATGGAGCCTATAAATTCTTCTTTTTCTCTCTCTCTCTCTTAAATTATTTGATATTCATTCAGTTTAGTGTTATGTTCACGCACGTTATCACTTACAGGTGCTTCTGAACTGTAGTCTTACTTTACTTTACTTTACTTCGGCTATCTCCTACGGGAGGATGAGCCGGCTTCATGAACGTCTCGAATCATCGCTGCCCAGGCGCGGCAATTTGTAAGAGAGTTCATGAAGTTTCATGGGAATTTGGTACGAGTGATGTCCCCAGCATCGCTCGGCCTTTTGTTTGAGAGTGCAGCTCTAGCCTTTACACAGCCAAGTGTGACCTACAAGGCAGTAGGAGTGGAGTAAGGAGTCCACTATCCATTGGCAGCCGGTGACCGGAGTTCGGTTCATACGCCTTTTTGAATGGGACCAGACATCCAGGACATCCAACAAGCCCTTTGTCCATACGTCTGCCGGTGAGCTTCATACGCCAGTCGTTGGAGGTTTGGAATCAGGGTTTAGCCATCTCCCCTAGACCGTCATCCAATGGACAGTCAACCCGGTGGAGAGCGCCGGGCATCCGCTTTCGCCCTCTCACTTTGGTGAGAAACACCTCCGCCACGTGAAGGCAGTGAGTAGGACTTCCTCAGGAGAGGCTATGTAAGACGCCCGGTCATATGGGAGCATTTCAAGAGGTGTGCGGAGAGGTGGCCAACCCGCAGCGCAAAGCACCCACCCCCGACCATCCTGAGGCTTTGTAGTCTGTTGAGATATTAATATGACTCGATGTTATTTTTTATTATGGATGTATATATAACTGTACAATCTGATGATAAAGAAGTTATCGAAAAGAAGATTCTTTGTTCACCAAAAGCAATCTCTTGAAATTACTAATGCTCATCTTTATTCAATAGGAACTTCATCAAATGTGCGTCGGTGGCATAGTGGTTAGGACATGGTCCAAGGTTTGATCCCCTGCCGAAACACACACCTGATATCTATGGGGTCGGCCTGCAAAATTTAGGCTACCGATATCACATGCTGAAAATTCCATACTTGTACCAAAAATACAGTGTGGAATCAAGCTGTAAATAAAAATAACGATACACACAAAACATAACTGATAGTCGGTCATCTATCTATCCCTTCCCGACGTATATACACTAAGAGATCACATTCATACAAGTGTTCAGTTCAGTTCAGTAATTTCTCATATACTTTATATTCCTATACGTTTCGACTGGAATATCATAACGGCATTAAAGCTTTGAGTTCTGAATTTTCAGTAGCAGAAAAGGGTTATTTTTACAGGGTGGATTGATAGCCTTCCATGCGAACTCTTCCCTTTCTTACTGGGCTTGCTTTAAAGCGATGGGGTTATATTAACATCACGCCCAGCCTCGCCCCCCTCCCCTTTATCGGCTTGACTACCGGGGCCAAGCGAGGTTTAAGAGTACATCATCGGTGAGTGACAGAACGCCAGACCATAATATATGTGGGACGCAGAGTTCAATAATAATGATACATAGATTTAATGCAAAACAACAATACAACACTAAAAATATTTGTCACAAGAAAAAAAAATCAATAAGAAACAAACAAGCACTTACCAATAAGGTGTTCCAATGAATGTATTTCGTTTACCAAATGTTTTATCCAACTGTGCACTGACTCCAAAATCAACTGCAGTTCACACAATCGATTGAGAGACAAAGGATCCAACACAACCAAAAAATATCATATTGCATAATAAGCAGGTAAACATATACACATATACATAGAAAAAGAAAAAAGAAATTCCGTTATAGCATTTCGACTCCAATGAGATATCATACAAACATATGACGATATTAAAAAATAACAGAGATAGTTTGTTTACTTATCAGTATTATATCTCCCAATGTTATTTCAAAAGTATATATATATCCGTGTATGTAGAGTATACAGCTGACGAGTTCTACCGAAATTTGATGAATCCATCATTAAATCATCCTGCTGTATTAACCGTTATTGCTTGTTTTAAATTCGTATCGGGAAATAAATGTTTTCAATTCTACAGATGTACTCACTCAGGATCCCGACGGCAATAAACATATGACTTGCTAGTGTCTGGTTGCCTATTAAGTTCATTAAAGTTCTGGTGAGAATTTGTAACCAACCACGTCGAATTTCAGGAGAAATACTCACCGATAACACTGACTGAAAGTTGCACTAAAATAGAATTTATATGAGCTTGATTCCCGATGCGCATTGTGGGTGCGCATTATTGAAGAGTGTTCAACTGGGACGAAGCAGCTGCTGAGTTGTCACTGGTTTTCAAAGGTTCCCCCTAATAGATATCAACCCGTGATCAAACTTGAATTCATGTAATTATTAGTATTACTATTATTCTTAGCAAAATAGAAATTAGTCGGTTTATATTTATGATGAATTTTGCCTACGAGACTTTCCATTTAACTTTTTTCATACGTACTTTTTTATAGGTGATTGACTGTTCAATTTCCTCGTCGGTTATATTGATACTGAATGAGAGGGAATTTAAAACTAGTAATATAACCAATTGATAGTGAAACTAAATGGTCTACTTGTGTCCAACTTTCCCTGTACTTTCTAGGTAACAATCTGAAGAGATAACGTCAATTTGAAATGGGCATCATCTAGTTACCCTTTACAAATGAAATACCAAGCTTTTCTGATGACATTGACTTTGACTGGATGTTGTCTCTGGAGATTGTGTCTATTTGTATTGATATTGATTTTCAAACCATCTCACTAAGAGTCTCCAACCACTAATTCCCTTCAAAGTTTAAGCAAGCTAGATTGTATAGGGTAGGAAATGGAAATGGACAGTATTTAACAGAAATCCAGACAGACAGTACCAATAAAATTACAGAATTAGAGAGTAGAGACTAAGCCAAATGTAGGATTAGGAACCTCAAGTGTTAAGAGGAGGTGAAAACCCCTACAACCGACTAAATGATTTGTTTCTCTAAAACATCTTTAACGTACAATTCAGGTGGTTCAGTAGTAGAAAGCATATTAGACTCCTGACAGATGCACTCCTTAGCCTCTAACTATATGGTGATAAGCCCACAAAAAGAAGAAAGACTAGACATCACACTAGCTACCACAGAAACAACAACTGCCTGTCTGACTATTTGGTTTCGACATAGAACTTTCCACCGATGTGCACCAGTTCAAGTCGACACACTCCCTCCATGTAGCACACAAAGCAACAGAAGAAAGTAGAAGAAATGCATAATACAGACAGTAAACAGAGGTGTGAGACAAAGGAATAGTAATAACGAAGAACAATATAGTTTCACCGGAAATCATAAGTCACAAGGAGTGGATGAATCTGTACCAACCATTGAGAACGATTTAGAGCCACATCACCAATTGTTTTCAACCATTGGTTTTTACCGTCCCGAGGACCCCAACCAGGAAGTCTACACCCTCATACGTGGTTTAAACTAACTGTTGTGGATTTCATCATTCGATGTAGCCACGTTTTGGTTTGACCGCCGCTAGCTCTTTTCAAGCCTGACCCATCCTATGTCAGCTAACATTGGCCGTCGGTCGAGGAAGGCGATGACTAGGAATACGTAACACATGTCCTAACCATCTCAGTCTTTGTAACTTCACAACTTGAGAAGGATTTTGAGCCATGTCACCAGTTGTTTCCAACCATTAATTTTTACTCTCCCGAGGACCCCAACCATGAAGCCAGTCTACACCTTCCTACGTGGCTGGCTGGCTTAAACTAACTGTTGTGGATTTCATTGACTGATGAAGCCATGTTTTAGTTTGACCGTCGCTAGCTCTTTTCCAGCCTGACCCATCCTATGTCAGCTAACATTGGCCGTCGGTCGAGAAAGGCGATGACTAGACATGCATACGTAACACATGTCCTAGACACCTCAGTCGATGTAATTTCACAGCCTAGTCGACTGATTTCCCCTCCTTACCTAGAACTCGACCGAGGCCTAACCTCAATATTGCTCACCTTATTATGCCACTTCACACGGGAGATAGACAGCAGGCACCTATGATCAAAGACAGTTAATCTTTTCATATCTTCCACTCTCAATGGCCAGGTCTCACAGCTGGCCGTAAAGGAGGATGGAGCGGACTGACGTGCAGTACACACGCCTTTGGTCGACAGCCAGCCGGATATCTTGTCTGCACCAGAGACGGTGTAAACTGGCATATGCGAGACCAGCCTTCTGTATCCGTACTGAGATTTCGTCGGAGATCAACCCGTTGGCACTGGCTGATGGTACTTCCCAAATAAGTGAAGCGGTCAACGTGCTCTACCACTTAGGGTTGAATCCATTAGTGCATCTATGATGAAGTTGAATAGAAATAGGGATAATGGGCATGCTTGATGGACACCGCTAGTCGTCACCACTTCAAATGACAACTCGCCGTAAGCTCTCACCTGGCTGCTACTGAAACTACAAAAGGTTAAGCTCTGTGTTCCACTGGAAAAGTAAGAAATGAAAAAAGCTTTGACAATCGCAGGTGGTTGACGCTGAGTTTAATACAGATAATATTAACTAAAAATATAACCTAAAGAAAAAAGGCAACCAGACAGTTTCCGAACAAATAGGGAATTGAAATGTCACGAAAAGAAAATATCAAGTCATAAGTGATAACAGCACACTTTCAGTGAAGTGGAAATAAGATGACGAGTGGTGGCCTGCTTAAAATTTGGGCTACCAAGACATATTCTATTTCTCTATTGACTATTATATTTTCTCTTGTTCGGTTTGTTTTAATCGATTCAGATATGACCTACCTCTAATGGTATTATCTACTCTTGTGTGTGTGTGTGTGAGTGTGTATTTAAAATGTTTACAACCCCCTGTCTGATTCGCAAGTTCCTACTAAAAGTGAGGAATGATTGTGGATACCAACGTGTTCCTGTACATAAGATAACTGTTCTTCAGTTATGTCTACTCGTCTCAAAATGTACTTCTGCACATCTTTACAAATGGCTTTCAACTCGATCGATATCGTGGATTTCTTGAAGCAGAGACAAAACAGATATATCATCATAATGGAATGGTTTGTGATTCAGCTGAGAGACCATGGTGTCACGGGATATAATACTGTCAATGAATCAATATTTTACTTGAAGATATTGTACGAAGAGAGGAAATATCATGCAATAAACTCCTCTGAAAATTATGTACATTTTATAAATACTGTCCAGAATAAAGATATATATATATATATATATGTAGATGACTTGGTATACATCAAAATAAAGACCGAAAACTGAGAATTGACTTTCAAGTATCGGTTTGTAGGGATTTGGTTGATTGGTTACAGGATTTCATAATGCGTTGACACTGGTTAGAGAACCATTGGAAAACCTGGGAGTACTGGACAGCTGTTTCGTGCTAGCTTGGGACTCCTCAGCAGTACTCACCCACCGGGGTTCGAACCCAGGACCTTCTGGTTACAGGGCGAGCTCGTAGACCATTAAGCCATTGGGACCCGATCCAATGTCCTATAAATTCTAACTTCTGCCAACCCTCGATATGGGGCAACCGCTAGCCAATGAGAATTGATTGTGTGTTGCTAGACCACCATTAAAATATATCTGAAAAATCGTATCTACATATCCCATGTCATTACCAAAACTTCGGCCTACGGTCGAATCAAGAATCGCCAGCTTATCACGGAACGGCTTGTAACATATCTGTATATGTGACTTAAATATCGTCTGATATTTCTTCAGTTGGTTGGAAGAAAGACCTTTTAACGTGATATGTACTGATGTAGTCTAACATGAAAGTAAATAGAAACATTGACTACTACAAAAAGTAAATGTTCACAATAAATTAATAAACGTAGCACTTTTACTAAGCCTAGAAAGACACAGAGAAGTATTCGTCATTCAGAATGACAAATAAAAAGTTGGTGAAGTTGCGCAATCTGCTTTATCCAGTGGGTATTAGGGAGTTTCAGTAAGCTGGCCGAATATTATTATTGGCAGAAGTTAGAATTCATGGACTGGCCATTGGATCGGGTCCCAGCGGCTAAATGATCTACGAGCTCGCTAGCCTTGTAACCAAAAGGTCCTGGGTTCGAACCGTGGTGGTTCTGTTTAAGAGTCCCAAACTAGGACGAAATAGCTGTCCAGTACTCCCAGGTTTTCCATTTTTAAACATAGAACTTGCCATTAAACTACCATAAAGAAAAACGAACTGCGACGCTTCAATTTTTTTTTAATTCCTTTACGTTTTCAATGGAACATAGGTCTTCAAGCTTCTTGGGCTTTGAAGTTTCGACAGAGCAGTGGTGTTTATCTTTACGCGATGGCGGTTGCTGCCCTCATGCCCAACCTTCCCTCTTTACTAGTCTTACTGCTGGCTTAGCAAGGTAAAGGAGTAATGACGGCCGGAGATCGAACCCCGGACCACATGAGGCGTGGTTGGCGAGCATTCTACCTCTGCGCCACCGACGCACACAAGACGCTACAATTAGTGGGGATAGAGAATAAAGTCACTCCAAAAGGTTACTTCATCAAATGAGAAAATCATTAACCGGAGTTTGCAAATGTTTCATTAGAAGAGTAGGGGAAAGACGAGATTCGTTTTAAAAAGGCAAAAATTTTTATGACTCATCAGTCGAGTGGCTTTGAACACAACTAAATGATGTCTGAATGCATAAATTACTTATTCGCCCCCACCATTTTATATTTCATACAATCAAAAAAGGCCATAATAGAATATTATTGGATAGGGCAAATATAGATCCGATTCAGTACAAATTTAAGGCGGGTTTCGAGAAAGGCAAAGGGTGAAGACAATGGTCAATTGTCACCCCCCCCTTTATATGTGTGCAGACCTAATAAATCACGAAGCTGAGATAAAAAAAATTTGTCAACATAAAGGGAAGGAGGATACCTACATATTTTGAAAGGTAATCATCAACACTTCCACGCCGAAAAAAAATAACAATACAAATCAATGCGTTTGAAAAAAAATATTCATATATAAGTTAACTATAAATGAATGAACTCACCAAGCTTGACCTCAGCATTATCAGTGAGCAATACATTTTGACCTTTAATATCACGATGAATCACACGATTTGCGTGTAAATGCATAAGACCCTGTAGAAGAAAAACACAAATAAAGTAGGAGTTACATTCAGAAAAATAAGACCCGAAATATGAAAAAAATATTTATAGATGATTGATTGTAAATATTGTTTAAATGCACATTTCACGATGGTGAACAGAGAAATTCAAACAACAAAGAAGCGATATCTTATCCATTTGTCGACTCGTCAGTCAGCATGTTCGTAAATCTAAATTGCCAGAACAGTATCCCTTACACTAAGCTATTTACCCGAATATTGTTATAGCCCTGTTTTCTTCTTCAATACAACTGTGTACGCTTTCGGTTATGATGACACTGGCTGATATAATTATAACTATCAATATTAGGCAAGAGTTTAGAAAAGATAATTTGTGAATGGTGACTAGCAGTGGAATCCAGGATGCGCATTTCGTCCTATTTGGAACTCGTCACTGGATATGCCTGTACAAGAAGTCAACCTGAGACCGAACACTTCCGTCCAATCAATCGACGGGAAAATCTAAAATTGAATTAAAAAGCGTAGAAAAGACACCATAGTCAGGCGACCTTGAATCAGCCAATCAGACAGTCCGGTAGTGCAAATGGATACTTTCTATGACCCTCGCTGCCAGTTTTACCCTAACCTTAACCCTAATTCGGAGTTAAACTTACAACAAAGATAATGAAAAGCACGTATCTGTGGTGCTAAGAGATCTGATTGGTTTGGTTCAAGGTCATCCGACTGTAGTGGCAAGGCATCAGCCAGGAATCCAAAACAAAACACCAGACTGACTGGTGAACACTCTACTATTCAGCCCATCGACGCGTAAAAGCCGCAGAATACTGGATAGGAATTTTGTTCTAGTTTGAGAGTCCTCAGCAATACTCAACCATGATCCAACAGTGGATTCAAATCATAACTTTAAGATTAAGAGGGAAGCCCTCTGATCATTCATCCTCAAAATACAACAGTCAGAATTGTGTTTCAGCCAAAGCAATTAAGTATACTGTTAAAAGAGAATACTACAACCTTGTGCACACTTTACAGATATAAAAATTAATCTTCTGGCAAGATTTTATCAAGCGCCAATATCAGTCAAATTAAGATAAGAAATCAACGAGTAATTGAACAAGCTTTTTGTTCTGGTTAGCGACACCTCAATGTCTTGGCTGATAGATGCTACTACCTTGTGACGTGGCGGTCACCGGGCTTTTATATCCCAACGACACAACAAGCTACACTAGGTGGAACTAATATTATTGCAGGTCCTAACATGTCAGGAAGGTTGTTAGGATAGCGATTAGACTAAAAGCAGTTACCACCATAGTGTAAGATTTGTGTTTTATACTATGCTGGGGGTCTGTTGGTGAAGTCATACTGATAGAGAAAAGGGATGTGACAGCAACAGTTAGGTGTTTTCTTCAGATGACCATCATCTATGACCAGTCATCTATGCTGTCTCTCCATTCTGGAGAGAGAAGGGGTTAGAAAAGGTCGACCCCAACAATTTTACCACCCGAATTACCCAGCCTACGGTGGTCCGTAGCCGGCGGTAAGTTTACTAATACGGGACCAATCCAAGAAGCCAGTTCATACAAGCCATGTTTGACCAGCCTCAGGTGGCTGTCGGCTGGACTCTGTGATCACGCAACACTAATTCTCTTTCTGTTTCAGATACTCGAAGAATCAATCAACTTCCACAGTGTGGACAGCGGGGAAGTTACAACCGCCCACACACTTCCAAAAGCACACGAACCCCCCTGACTCCTCATTGTCTCTCACCCTTGAAGGTTCTGGGTTCGTCTGCTCTAGGAAGGTGTTTATGGTTGAAGTGTCCGGAACTAGAACAAAACAGCTGTCCAATGTCCCCTTCCTCTTCCACGCACACTAATCAATCATGAAGTTATAATACACAGTATCATTTTAATGGATAATAATTACTTTAAAGCGTAACAATTTAAAAAAAGAGTCATTAACTATTATTAGAAGTGACTTAAAAATGGACAAACAGATAACCATGGCTAGTCAATTATAAAGTAAATAATATTTTTACAAACATTCTGCTGTAGAAAACGATAGAAAATCGATAAACTAGGTGAGGGAGGAGGGAGTGATGATGTTTTAGAATGTGGAAAAAAAAGGCAATTTAACTGTGTCATCATAAGTTGTGTTGTTTTTCCAAAAGCAAATATCAACTAATTTAAGTTTTCATTGATTACTATCACAAGCAGGGAAGGTTGATGCTGTGATAGATAGGCAGGTAGGTGCCTTACAAAACTTAGCGTCTGACCAGTGAGTGATAGGATGATGAAATGCATTCTTTAATTTGCTTGACAATCTCCATTAATAAATAATACTATATACGAGTTACATCACCGTACAAATGCAGCATGTCTAAAAATTAGTTCATTGATCGACCTCTTTGTCCACACCTATATTAGCTGACAGAGAGTCAGGTTGGAATAGAGCTAGCTACTTACTTACTGGTGGTCAAACTAAACCAACCAGTCAATGAAATCCACAACAGTTAGTTTAAGCTAACCACGTAGAGAGGTGTAGACTGCTTGGTCGGTTGGCGTCCCCAGAATGGTAAAAACTAGTTAAGAGTGGAGACAATTGGTGAAATTGTCTCAAACTCAATGGCTGGCGCAGATGCATTCACTCTCTGTGATTTCTCATATACAACAAAACTCTATTGTTCTTCCACCATATTACTATTCTTTTCCCCCCACTCACACTTCCATTTATTATCTCTCTTTTGAACCTTTCTTTACTCTCTTGTCTTGCTCTATGTTGAGTGCGGCAACTCGAACTGCTGCACATCTGTGCAACGTTCTATGTTGAAAGCAGTCAGTCAGTCAGTTCACCTAACTGTAATACTTCTTAGAACTGTAACGTATGTCCCACAATACACTGTATGGTTATACATACATACATACATACATACATACATACATACATTGGAACTGCTAAGTGTTTTTTTCCCGCTGTTGGTCGTCTTTTCAGGATCAGTTACTTCACACTAAGCTAAATCTCTTTATATTCCGATTACCCAAGTGTGACCACGATCCACACGATTCAACTATGATGCAGTTAGCTAACCCTATCTATCCAGCAGCTTATTGGATCAGACAGCCGTTACAGAAAGAATATACAAGAGTGTGATGACAATTTTACAACCAATCTAGTCCTATTAAAAGACGTGATTCAACAGGTATTTGAATGTTTTTTTCTAAAAAGAAAAGGCGGGTTTACAAACAGTTGAGAAACACAGGGCATACTATGCATACCTATAAACTTTATACCACCACCACCACCTATAACAGTATGGTATTATCATAATAGTTAATAACAGTAATGACGTTAATGATTTACATGTTTTCACAAGTTTATACGAAAACATTTTCTTTCTATAAGTGGACACCAGTTTCTACAACCACACGTATCTGTCTTTGTTGTACTTTTTTTCTTTCGGAAGAGTCAGCTCTTACGTCCTCTTCCTCCCCCTTCCCACCTATATACACTCTTGAGTCAAACGATTTTTTCACGGGGAATAAACACGTCGTGTCCAATTTGTTTTTGCTTCTTTATTTTTCAAGAATATTTTACAGGCGTCTTGTACGTATGTATGTAGGGTGTGTATGTTTAGTTTCATTCTACACTGGTCAACCTAAATGTATGGCAATATGAAAAAATGCTGCACACACATACATACATACACACACACGAGGAAACACGACACGGTGTCATTCTCCTCTCTCTTCCACAAAAAAATCCTTCAGACATATCACAGTGGTGAATGGTGAATGCAGCCTCCATTTAGAGAATGAAATGACTCATAAGGTTTTTGTTCGTATTCCAGTAAATAAGTAAGTAATTAAGTACGTAAGCAACCAACCAATCAGCCAATTAATAAGCACATCAAGCATAAAGTAGTTGGACTGAAGTCGATAAACATCACTTAAATTAAATATACAGTTATTTTATATTCCTTCCTGTCTTTGTTTGATGATGATAACAGTACGCAAACACTAAGATAATGACACTAACAGATGACGTATGATGTGTGTGTGTGTGTGATAAGAAAGAGACTCTAACTGACTGCCTGGTTGAATGAGTCCTTTCACATAGACAAGTATGCAGGAAAGTGTAGCACATTTCAAGTCATCCCACTTCCCCGCAATAGGCGGGGAATGTAAGTTTTAAAAAAGAAAGAAAGAATAAATGAATGAATGAAAAACAAATGAGAATCAACTGAATCTGAGGGGAAAACAAAGAGTGAATATGCATATGCGCTATTAAGAATGATTTTTAAACAATATCAGCCCATTGATTGTAAGCGTTTCGAGGACCTCAACCAGTAGTGTATACCCCCTCCTAAGTGGATCAAACCGACAGTTGAAGACATAATGGATTAATGCCAGCCAGATAGATCCTTCTAACTTCTTTCCACTTCAATAGCTTCACAACCTCAGAGATTGATAATCACTTGTCATCTAGTACTCCATCTTCAGCCGCATAATTACTGATTATACTATACCATCTAACACAAGAGACAGAACACAGACAGACATGGTCAAAGGCAACTAGCTTCTTCATATCGCCAGCGTTCAACAGCCATGTCTCATAACCATAAAGAAGGGCATAGAGAACGACTGACAATAATCTCTGATCTACTCCTCCTCCATATCACCCTCGCACTGACGATGCACTCGTCACTCAACAATTCAGATTCCACTCGAGTGGTGGAGGACATTGCGGGCGATGTCATTCGACGGCCTCCTCGATGTATACCCGACCAGTCCATCTCCAATTTCTCCCAAAAAACCCATTGAGCTATCAGCTCTTGGTTGGTTCGCTCCCACAGTTTCTTGTTGTTAATTCTTTCTTCCGGTTGACCTGTCATTTGATCTTCAGTATGGAGAGAGCCAATGGAGGCGGTAGCTGTTGATAAAAGTCTGCAACAGGCTGTTAAAAATCCTTTCCGTGACACGCTGGCCAAGTTTCTGACCCGTATAGAAGCCCCGGTTG